TTCAATAGCATGAGTTGTGTATGTAACAATTCCTCCCAATAATATGAAACATAGCAGCAAGTTATACATTGAAGAATAATATGTCTAGCTATAATTCTTGCAAGTGTTTCTACTTTTCTTCCCTCATTTTTCATCTGAATTTAAGTTAGATATCATTTTAGCTTTCACTCATTTATTGCTTCCATGAAAATTGAAATCACTTCATCTAACTTTTGACTGTACAAACTATTTTGTCAGTTTTATTTTTTCATATCAATCTTACAAATTTAATATTGAATTTAAGCAAACTTAAACCTCCACTGCAGGGTATTCTTTTTAAATAAACAAGGAACACGAGTCATTTGGTTTATACTAATTATTTATAATTTATGTAATATGAAATCAATTTTCCATGCACAGTAAGTGAAATGTGTCTTTGCAAAATCCTGTGTAATATGAAAACAATCACACCTGGGTATTAACACGAGTCATTTGGTTTATACTAATTATTTATAATTTATGTAATATGAAATCAATTTTTCATGCACAGTAGGTGAAATGTGTCTTTGCAAAATCCTGTGTAATATGAAAACAATCAAACTTGGGTATTTAGGATTAAGCAAAATCCGGATGGTTCAGTTCTCAAATACAAAGCCAATAATCATATATCTTGAACTAACCCTAATTTAATCTTCAATAATTTCAACATAACAAAGTTAAATGAAAACAGAGAAGAGTATTGAACCTGGAAAATTGAAACGATGCAGAAACCGGAATGACGAGTCGTTGGTATATTGCGGCGGAGAGAACGAACTTGAAGTTGGTGATGTAGAGAAGATAAGTGATAACAACCGTCGTGCGGTGTGGAGAAAGATGAAGGCACGGTGGTGGAGAAAGAAATGGCCGATGATGGTTGTCTGCTTGCTTTGGTGGTCTGCGTGCGGCGTGGAGAAGATAAGTACTTTTTCACCGTGTTTTTACTCACTCTGCAACTATTCTGCGTTTTGGATCAAAACAATTATAATATTTTTTTTTTAAATTTTTATAATTAAATTTTAATTAAAAAAATAAAAAATACATTTGAACCGGCGGTTTCCGGTTTTCGATTTTACCCGGTTCAACCTGGGTTTTACCGGTTTTCGCCGGTTGGATGACACGGACGATCCAATTAGTGAACCAGACCGGTTACTAGGCCGGTTCCCGGTTCAACCGGTCCGACCGGCCGGTTCGGTCCGGTTTTTAAAACACTGACCGTGACGAGATCAAACTGAACAATGTGGATGCATTAAGATGGATTGAAAGCATTGATAGGGTGACGCGGGCATACGACAATGGGGTGCGGTGGGGACACATGACAACTAACCTCGTCGAGTCAATGAGTTCTGTTTTCAAGGGAATCCGAAACCTCCCAATAACTGACTTGGTAAAGGCAACCTATTTTAGGCTAAGATCACTCTTTGATAGCAGACGTACGAAGTGGGGTTCGGTATTACAATCGGGTCAGCTGTACAGCGATACTTCAATGAAATTCATGAAAGACGAAGCTGCCAAAGCCAACACACACGTGGTCACAATATTTGACCGTACAGCTGGTTGGTTCAGTGTTGCCGAGTCTATAGATCACAACGAAGGAAGGCCTAGGGGATGTTATCGTGTTGAATTGGATAAGAGCTGGTGTGATTGTGGAAAGTTTCAAGCATTCCGTATGCCTTGCTCTCATGTCATAGCAGCCTGTTCGAAGGTGCGCCAGGACCTAACCAACCTTCTTTCTGGAGTTCACCAAGTGATAAGTCTGTGCAATGTCTACACATGCAGCTTTCAGGTGGTGGCAAAGGAGGACTATTGGCCTCAATACGAAGGCGAAATTGTTTGGCATAATGACTTGATGCACAGAAAGAAAAAGGGTTGGCCTAACAACACGCGCATTCGAACAGAGATGGATACCGCAGACAAGCTGGTGACATTGTGTAGTTCGTGTCGGCAACCAGGACACAATCGTACGAAATGTCCTAACGTAGGATCAAGCAGCAGATCATAGTTTCATATGTAACCGTGTCCCTTTAATTCAATAGCAACTTTCATTCGATTAATAGCAAATTTCATTCGATTAAAAGCATACTCAACTAACATAAATACAGAACACTACACCCAGACATCATAAATTAAACAAACATAACAACAACGTAAAGACTTAAAACAAAACACTACACCAAGGCGTCTACGAAATCACAACCATCAACTTTATCTTCTTTGGTGTCAACATCATCACAAGGACGCCAACATCATTTTCCACTTTTCTCCATTCACGAGTAACTCCGTTTCTCCCGGTCTCCTCAACCAACCTCTCAATTTTCCTAATCTTTTCTCCTTGAGCAATATCCCCTTCTAGCCAGCGGTTCAGTTCCCTGTGCAAGTGCTCCAACGTCTGCGTATTCCACATGAGCACCTTCATCGGAGGCTTTGTTGTTGAAAACACAACTACGACATTTCTTTTCATTAGATCGAACGTTGGAAAAGTTTCCTCCGATGCTGATGACAACGACGAAGAACGTTGATTTAGAAATGCAGACATTCTAGACTTCACTCAACTCAAACTGCACTAACACTTTAGTCTTTTGGGATATAATGTTGTGAAAACATACATGTGTTTGCAGTCATATTTATAGTAAAAAAAATAGTACGTACCCTATATGATATGACTTAAATAACCTTACAACATTTATACACTCAAAATTAAATCAACACTATATTTTTATTTTGTATTTAAACCTAATTTTATTAAACCAGTTTAGCTTTATTGTTTATTAAACATAAATTTATTAAATTAATTTGAAATTATTTTTATTTAAACCTAATTATTTAAAGTTTATTAATTAAAAAATAAATTTTAACATTAAACCAAATTATTTTAAATTTATTAATTCAAAAATTAATTTAAACATTTAAACCTAATTTTTTTAAAGTTTATTAATAATATTAATGTTTAAAAAAATAATAATAATTAAAAATATAAAAAAAACTCGATATTAAACACATTAAAAAATTTGCTGAAATTAAACATATAATCAAAATATAAAAACGTGGAAACCCTAACACACTACTTCTAATTCGCCAAATGACATGGCAAAATCATTAAGCTTTGGCCTCATTCGCCAAATGATGTGGCGAATTCCATTTTTTAATTTTTATTTTAGCCTCATTTGCCAATTGAGATGGCGAACGGATGCTGGAAAGATAGCCTATTTGAAATTTTTTTTGATCACTGCTTACTTTGTTTGTCTGACCAGAAAAGAAATAGGATTGTACACACCAACTTCAAGTTTACTAATAGTGTGATAAAGGTGGCTGGGTATCAGGACATTGTAAAGCAGAGTTGGCATAAAGTGTGTGTGGGAAGACCTATGGCTCGATTGTGGTACAAGCTTCTGAGGTTGCAGGCTCCTCTTATCAAATTGAGCAAGAAGTTCTCTCATCTCCATATGTCCATTATAAAAGCCAGGACTGAGCTTCTCAAAGCACAGGAAGAGTTATTGGTGGACAGAATGAATGTAGGGAGCATTGAAAAGGTGAGAAAGTTTACTGATGAAGTGATCTACCTGCAGGACCTAAATGCTAAAATGCTTAGACAGAGATCAAAACTGGATTGGCTTAGAGAAGGTGACACAAATTCAACTTTCTTCTATGCCTACCTCAACTCTAGAAATACAGTTACTCACCTCAGTCAACTTCAAAAGGAGGATGGCACTTATATTCAGAATATTCCTGACATTGAAAGAGAGGTTTGTGACTTTTATGGTAATCTGTATGGGACTAAAGAACATAGGGTGAGTATGATTGATATCAATGCTATGAGGGAGGGACCCCAGTTAACTATGATGCAGAGAGCTGAACTTATTACCCCTGTTACTGTTGCTGGAATCTGTACTGCTATTAAAGGGATTGGGGACCTAAAGAGCCCTGGTATTGATGGGTATGGTGGAAAATTTTTTAAGGCTAGTTGGGAGATCATAGAGCAAGATGTTGTTGAAGCTGTCCAGGAATTCTTCGAGAAAAATGTGTTGTACAAAAGATTTAATGAAACAATTGTTACTTTGATCCCTAAACATCCTGCTGCAAAAATGATAAAAGAGTATAGGCCTATTGCAGGATGCACAACGGTTTATAAAATCATATCCAAGATCCTATCTGCGAGACTTGGGAGAGTTTTGGGGTCTATAATCAGTAAAGCTCAGGCAGCATTTGTACCAGGTCAGAATATTCACTCTCACATTTTATTGGCTAGGGAATTGTTAAAAGGTTACAATAGAAAAAATGGTACGCCAAGATGCATGGTCCAGCTTGACATTCAAAAAGCTTATGACATGCTTGATTGGGGTGCTCTTGGCAATATCCTCAATGAGATAGGGATGCCAAAGAGGTTTGTTGATTGGATTATGACTGCTGTTACCATAGTCTCTTATAGATTCAATATAAATGGCAACTACACTGACAAGGTTGAAGAAAAAAGGGGTATTAGACAAGGGGATCCTTTGTCCCCCCTTCTGTTTGTGATTATTATGGAGTACCTTAGCAGGATGCTGGTCAGAATGCAAAAAAATCCGGATTTCAATCACCATTCCAGATGTGAAAAGTTGCAGCTCACCCATCTTACATTTGCTGATGATCTCCTGCTGTTCTCTAGAGGGGATAAAGGCTCCATGGAAATTCTGCAGCGCACCACGATTAGTTTCTTGGATTCAACAGGTATGAAAATTAACCCTACCAAGAGTAAAGTGTATTTTGGTAGTGTCTCAGATCCTGTTAAGCACTCAATTCTGAATTTTACTGCTTACAATGAGGGGACTCTCCCATTTAGATATCTTGGAGTCCCAGTGAGTAGTAAAAAGCTGTCTGTGGTTCATTATATGCCGTTGGTGGATAAACTGTTGAGTAGGATAACTCATTAGAGCTCTCGACTTCTTAGCTATGCTGGTAGATTACAGTTGATTAAAACTGTACTGTATGCTATTACTTCGTATTGGATGCAATGTATTTGTTTCCCTAAAACTGTGATTAGCAAAATCAATGCCATTTGCAGATCTTTTCTCTGGACAGGAGGAAGCACTATTAGTAGGAAGAGTCCGATTGCCTGGGATAAGGTTTGTAAACCTGCTGTAAAAGGAGGGTTGAATGTGCTTGATTTAGTGGCATGGAATAACATGTTTATGATGAAGTTACTCTGGAATATATGCATGAAAACTGATGATCTTTGGGTTCGGTGGATACACGCCTATTACCTGAAGAATGAGGATGTTATGAATAGAATGGTTAAGAATTCAGATTCAAATATTTTTAAAACTATTCTTCTGCAGAGGGAAAATATAGGAAATATGCAGGATGCTTGGAATGAGATGGTGCAAGCAGGGAGATTCATTGGTAGGAGAGTGTATGTGAACTTGTTACCTGCCACACCTAATGTTGTCTGGGCCAAGCTAATTCTCCACAATAGAGCTAGACCTCGTGCAATATATACTCTCTTGATGATCTGTCATGGGAAGCTAGCCACAAAAGCCAGATTGAATCGGTTTGGTATGGTGAATAATAACAAATGTGTTTTTTGCTCTGCGGTGGAAACCATTGACCACCTATTTTTTGAGTGTACTATTTTGAGGCAGGCTTGGGTTGAAACGCTTCTATGGATTGGTATCCCTCACACTCCCGGAAATTGGAATGAGGAGAAAAACTGGATTTTGAATTGTTATGGAGGTAAAGGTTGGAAAGCCGATCTTGTTAGATTAGCTTTGACTGAAACTCTACATGAGCTGTGGAGCTTTAGAAATGACACTTGTTTTAATCAAAAAAATGACAATAGGAATTGTACAGATAGAATCATTAACAACATAGTTTATAGAGGGTGGTCGAGTCCTAAGCTCAGACCACATATAGCTCTTTTGATGGTACCGTAAGTTATTTCTTGGTATGGGCTGGATTTCGATCGCCTTGTATTATTTCTGACTTTGGATTAATGAAAATTTTTGATTCAAAAAATATTTAATATATAGTTATTATAAAAAAAATTCTATAGTAGTATTATTTTTTAATATTATTATTTTTTGAAAAATTAATATTTTATATCAATTAATATTAAAGATACTAATATCCAATTAAAATTAAAAAGTATCTAAGAATTTTCTTTTTTCTTTTATCAATTTATAATATTATATTTTATATATTAAACAGTTGAATTAAAAGATTAAAAAGTATCTAAGAATTTGCTATTACATTTTATATATTAAACACTTGAATTAAAAGATGTTTTTCTGATTTTTTTTTATAATAACTATGTATTAAATATTATTTACCAATATATTGCATATTTTAAAAAAAATTCTCAAATGGCTAACAATCTAACATCCGTTCGCCAATTGAGATGGCGAATGTGTGTAAAATAAAAATTGAAAAATGGAATTCGCCACGTCATATGGCGAATGTGTGTAAAAATTGAAAAGTGGAATTCGCCACATCATATTTTGAGTAAGATTACAATTTGGCCTCATTCGCCAATTGATACGGCGAATTTCATTTTTTGATTTTCATTTTACACAGATTCGCCAATTGGGATGGCGAACGGATGGTTGATACTTGGCCACTTTGAAATTTTTTTTGAAATATGTAATATATTGGTATTAAATATTTAATATATAGTTATTCTAAAAAAAATTCTGTTTTTCTTCTATTGAACTAGATCTATTGATTTTGATATATTAGTGAGATTGTAAATTATTCATTTATTGTTTAAATATATTAAGATTTTTTAGATATAAGTTGAGATGTTGACAATCATGATATTTGCCCATTTATTTTCTTTTCTGTAGATATAGATCCCAAGGTATTAACTATCACCTTGATGTGAAGACTAAGAATGGAAATCTTTAAATTCACTCTTCATCAAGATATTCTAGAATCTTTTTAATAAATGTTTTTTGCATCGATTTATTAGTTATTTTATATTGTTATTTTTCTGTTTTTTTTTTTGTCCGATTTACTTTTGTTTATCATGTTTTATATTTTAGTAGTGTGTTTTTTTATATTTTCATGCTTTAATAAGTATCCCAGACAAAAAAGAAGTCAAAACAAGCAAAGCACATAAAAATGTGAAAGATGAAATTTCTCCCATATAAAAATCAGAGGTCTGATATGGCCACACGTAGCAGGCAAGCGTGCGCCTCCATCTTTTCTTTCCTTTATTGATTCAACTTTTTACTGTTTTGAGACTTTTTCATCTTTTGATTTGAGATATTTCCTAATGTAATGAGCATTGATCACATAGATTTAGTAAACTATTAGAATTTTCTATAAAACTCATACTTTGTCTTAAGTTTAGGAAGCCACGTTTTATTTTTCCAAGTTTCTATGTAGTTTGTATTCTCTTTGTACTCAACTCTCCATTAGAGCACTAGATCAAGGATTATTCAATTAGATTTTCTTATCTCTTTCAATTCAATTGCTTATCTATTTTCAATTGTTTATCAAGAATTCAATTATGAATATCGCTTTGAGTGTGTTTTCTCTCACCGTGAGTGAGCAGTCTATTAGGGACTAGGGGTGATGGAGCTTATCTCATGACTATCTATATGATCTGTTACAAATCAATTACGAGAGTCTTTTGTCTGTATTTATTTCAATACATGAGTTCATACATTCCAACCTTTGTATGAAAGTAAAGCGTTCTCAAGTATTGGTTGTAGTCTGAAATGATATGTATCGGTACCGGAGCACAGGTTTTTAAACAAACGAATTCTATACAACAAAAGTGCTTGGATGAAGTTGAGAAAAGTTCCAATTTTTATAGATATGCAAAAGTAACGAATCCTTGACGAACAATCTGGTCGAGCAAAAGCCAACAAATTATTCGTCATTGATAGGGAAACACACTAGCAAAAGCAGATGTTGTCCATATTTATCTATTTTTCATAAATTGTGTCAAGAGTCTCATAATAGAAGTGACTCAGATCATAAGAATGTGTCGCATTAGGAATCAAGACCCTAAGTCATGTTTGTCTCCATTGCGATTTAAGTAATTTCAATTAAGCTATTTTTTATATAAGTGTTTTTTATTTAAGTTATTTTTACAAAATCTCAAATTATTGATCTCTCTAGATATACATCAATAAAGTAGAATTCGATATTCAATTCATTGGTAATTGTGGTTTGATAATCTTTTACTACTTCACACAGTCGTGCACTTGCGGCGTGTCAAGTTTTTATTTTCGTTGTCGAAGACCAATTATGCTTGATATTGAATTTCTATTTAGTCACCGTATACACTAGAGTCTTATTCTATTTTTATTTTGTTGTGGTTCTCTCACTGTCCTTGTATGTGAATAACTCATTTTGATTATTCTATTTTGTTATCGTGGAGATTATAACAACTCTTTCTTTTTTGTTGTTTCTTTTATGGTATGCATCGGATCTATCCAAAATTTGTTCAATCATGTGAAAAATAACCATGGAGACTCTTATCCTAATACCTATAATTCAGGGTGGATATATCACCCAAATTTTTTCTACACTAACCACTCCCAGTATTCTGAGGAACCACCAAATTTTAAACAATCCAACCTTGAAATGATAATGGAGAATTTTATTAAAACATAAACTCGCTCTAACTTGGAATCTATGATGGAGAGTTTTGTGGCGACACAAACTCTATAGAATGAAGAGTTTAAAAACCAAAACCTCCATACTAGGGAAGCTCTTAGGCATCTAAACATTGTGGCCGAGTCCCTCGTGACACATAGCAATGCATTAGAGACCCAAATCTCCTAGCTTGCACACACCCATATGTCATACCTCAAATATGTCATATCCTGTATATAACATTCATTTGTACATCCACCCACTAACCTTTATTTAGAAAATCCCAAAAGGTATACTGCTTATGCTCGAGGTCTAAACTCAAGACATCACAGGGTTAAGGCAAATTGAATTGAGGTTCATTTGAGGTTTATCAGTTTGAATGTTTGGGCCAAGTCATGGGCAGTTGATCTGGTTCATGGTGAAAGATTGGTTCATAAGTGTAGAAGGCAAAAGTTCAAGATTTAGTTCATTAAGTGATTCAAGGTTTAAACTCAAAAGTCCAAAATTAATTTATGGTTTATTTTACTTCTCAAGGACCAACTAAAGGTGTTATCTATTTTAAGGAAAAGTTTAAGATGATTAATTTCAGACGCGGTATATGGAGTTAATATGAGAATTTCAAGTTTTAAGCAACATTGTTTTTAAATTAAGAATCAAATAACTGCAAGCATGATGCAAGCAAGATATAAGGTGCTAACAAAATTCAAGAGCCCAACCCAAGATTACATAAAAAGCCCATAAATCACAATAAAATTCAAGTCCATCACCACATAAACTCATTACCATGTTTCTCTATTTTGTTACCATTTTTACAATAAATATAAAGTCCATTTACATCAAAAATCCACAAAAAATGAAGCAAATTCATTACTAAAGTCCATACAAAAAAGGTCCAAACCCAAGCCAATTTGGTCCATAAAATTTAAAAACAAAAAACAAAACAAAAACTCATGAGAGAGAGTCATACGACCCAAGTTTTGCTCACCAAGCCATTGTTTATTTTCCAAATGCCATCACAAGTTAAGAAACAACTTCTCACTCATGCTGATGCTACTACTTCCTTCAAGCTACAATAATTCAGAACACACCATGAAACAAGCCATTTGATGCGAACTCACTCAACCATACACAACAACTGCAATTCTAAAAAAGAGATGTACCTGTAATAACAAAATAATGACACAAACTTCACACAAGCCATGTTGAGTCACTAGAATTATAGAGAAATTTTGACATAATATTCAAGACACGATAAAATTTCATACCAGCCAGTACATCACACAAAATGCGATATAATGTGCAGCCACGACTTTCAGCATAAACGACAAAATGTTACGCAATGCCCAACCTACATTCGAAGCAAAACCGTTACCACACAAACATCATCCGTACAACTACGTCATATTCCTCTCCAACCTTTCAAACCATAAATACTCTCCCCTCTCCCTATAAAACAAATCATTTTCTCGTCATCTAAAAAAAGCGATAATAACTTTCCCTCAATAATCTCTTCCAACACACATTTCTCTCCTTTCATTCCACCTGCAAAAAAATAAAACCACAATAAATAATCTCTTAAAACCTCCACAAATAAATCCTCCTTAAACACTCTTCTCCTTCAAACACAATACAACAAATTTCTCCATAACCATTCCTCAATAACAAACCCATTCACCATATGAATCAGAGAACAAAGCAGAGATGAACAGTGAGTAAGATTTAGACCAACCAAATCTCAAGAAACTGAAATCGAAAACCAAACGAACCTAAAATTTGAATCAACGCATGGAGCAAGCAATCGAGAACCGCGAGAGAAATAGAGGGTTTGAGATTCGGAATCCGCGAAAAGAGAAGGTTGGGTGATTTACGTTGTTTTGTTGCCTTTTCGTTGCCTTGATTTCGTCTCAATCTTGTTTTCTCCAAAGAAGAGTAGAACATGATGGTCTGGTGTTTTTTCATGGCTAGTTTTTCTTTCTGTTTTGTTTTAAGAGAAGAAGAGGAAACATGATGTTATGTTATTAGTATCCTTAGTGTTGGGCTTGTGGACTTAGGTCTGTGTTTGTTTTTTCACCCCCATTTTTTGGTTTCACCATGCTGAGTTTGAGAGGATAAATGGGCCTATGGCCCATATGATTCCATTTATGGTTTTTCTATACACCCTTTTCAATTCTGATTCACCCCCTCCATTTATTATTTTAAGATTGTTTTACTATTATTTTTTTCTTCTAAATATTTTGTTAAATTCTATTTTAGTTTTTTTATTAATCTTTTAATTTTATTCCATTTTCATTTTGATCTCCTTTGAGATTTTAATTTTGGTCAAAGG